AAAATTATCTAGCAATTACCAGCATGTCAACTTCAATTTCAAAGGTTAATAATTTCTTCTATGCTTCAATCAAAACATCGATGCCGGCCATAGTTTTAATGAAATACGAATATTTCTGCGAATTCTTGACAAATGTTCGTAAATTCATACGAATTTAGAATTCACATATTAAATATGGAAATGCTACGATAATTGAGTCAATGTTGATTCATAGATGCAGTTATTCTTTGATGTATTCTTTCAAAGTTCAGATGACTCTTTTACCTTGCATTTATTACGTCGGAATTTTAGTGTTTCTTATAAAATTCCATCACGTGTTTAAAATATTGCTTCACGTTTTAATATCTAATAATTCAATATGTAATAGAATCGGTAATTGAAATTTGTGGAAATCGGAGCGCGATTGGTTCGAATTAGCGGTGTGGACTCGTCTTGGGGTAACATGGTGGAGAAGTTCGTCGCCAGTCGATTCTATAACGGCGCGCAAAGTGCAGCGGCAGGTGTCCGCTGCAATCACGGCAAATGCGCATTCCTGCGAGCCAATTTACTAGCTTTCTCGAACTCGGCACGGTCGTGCTCGTAAGACGGATCATTTGCATACGCAGCAACGCTGCCTGCAGAGACGAGTCGCCAGTCACCGAGGATACAATGAGACCGTTTGAATTGCTCGCACGTACGCATGTCCTTTCGTTCGAATTTCGATATTGCGCGAAAACTGCGAGCTGCATGCGAATCGATTTCTGTTGAAAATCCTCTTCCGTCGTACTTGGCGATTCGCAACTGCGCCTCGGTTTTTCCTAACTCTTTATTGGAATAGTTTTCACGCGTTGACCTTTACCCGTGAAGTGTACACATTCCTCGCGATACTCCAACTTCCTGTTAACGAAGGACCAACGTAATTCCACGGTGTTAACGAAAAAATGTTTCAGGCTACTTCTAATTGGATTTATCGATCGTAATATTCTAGTATTTCTTCTTTTCTCGGAAGAGTATTCTGGTTCGTTGGAATTGTTGAAAATACGCGAACTTCTTTTTAATGCGTTCACTGCCAGACCAAACCTTCCCAAATTGTCTACGAAAACGATACTCTTTTTTTGAACAATTGGAAACTAGCATATCCACAATTTGTCGTAGAACTTATTTTTACAGCATCTTCAAAATGTAAGTGTCCTATTAAGATTTATTTTCTTTATGATCTAATTTTGAGAAATAATTTTTTTAGCTCATCAGTGAAAATTCATATCACCCATATATGGGTGACGTGGCAGTCAATGTGTTAATAGAAGACCAAGATGATTGCATAATTTCTGGACGTAGAAGAGAATTATTTAACGAAAACAAATTCTATAACGTGTACAAGTTATACTTGTCTCAATCGTAATATTCTAATATTTCTCCTCTTGTCGAAAGAATATTCTGGTTCGTTAGAATTCTCAAAAATACGCGAACTTCTTGTTAATAGAAGACCAAGATAATTGCCCAATGTTTAATGCAGAAAAAAATTAATGAAAAATGTTCCAATTAGATCTCTCGATCGTAATGTTTTAGTATTTCTTCTTTTTTCGAAAGAGTATTCTGGTTCGTTGAAATTCGCCAAAACACGCGAACTTCCTATTAATGGAAGATCAAAATAATTGCACAATGTCTGAATGCAGAAGAGAATTATTTAATGAAAACAAATTCCACGACGTGTACAAATTATTCTTGTCTCGATTATAACGCCCTGTGTTTTATTCGCGTTTCATCATTTTTCAAACGAGTATGAGTTTACAGCGAATCCCAACGAAAGCTTTTATCCTCCACAACTTGGTTTTCCTATCGGAATAGTTCATTGGAATAGTTTTCACGCGCTTCCCTTTAGCCGTGAAGTATCGCCATTCTTCGGAATACGTGAACTTCCTGTTAACGAAGGACCAAGCAGACGATCGTACAAAGTGCGATATAACAGAGTATAACATTGCAAAGTTGTGTACCTAAACGAGTGGAAATTATTTTCGTCTCGATTACAATACTGTGTTTCTACTATAATCACCGAATCACAGGAAAGTTAAGAATCTTCTATGGTTTCCACAACTATTTTCTAATCCTCTAGAAAACCATGGAAGGATCTCAAATCCTCTATAAGCTTGCAAAGTTGTGTTTTGAAAAAGAGTACAAATTATTTTCGTCTCGATTACAATATTGTGTTTCTACTATAATCACCGAATCACAGGAAAGTTAAGAATCTTCTATGGTTTCCACAACTATTTTCTAATCCTCTAGAAAACCATGGAAGGATCTCAAATCCTCTATAAGCTTGCAAAGTTGTGTTTTGAAAAAGAGTACAAATTATTTTCGTCTCAATTACAATATTGTGTTTCTACTATAATCACCGAACCACAGGAAAGTTAAGAATCTTCTATGGTTTCCACAACTATTTTCTAATCCTCTAGCAAACCATGGAAGGATCTCAAGTCCTCCGTAACCTTACAAAGCTATGCTTGAAAACAAGTAAAAATTATTTTTGTCTCGATTACAATAACGTGTTTCTACTATAATCGCCGAATCACAGTAAAGTTAAGAGCCTTCTATGGCTTCCACAACTATTTTCTAATCCTCTAGAAAAGGAAGGATTTCAAGTCTTCTGCAAGCTATGCTGTAACGATCATTCATGTTCCCCGAATTAGTTGTAAGTTCGATCGGGTCACGATTAAAGTAGTATTGCTAACGTTAATATCGTCTTGCGCCACACTATGCTAACGCATGTAAATCAGCGCTATTGTAGTCGCACTGTATACTGTTAAGAAATATAATTATTACGGCATGAATATTAACGCGGCTTCAATAATTATAATAAACAAGTGTCACAACTTCTTCAAGTTCCGATTACATTACGAAACGTTCGATCTGTCGCGTTTGCACCGAACGCTGAAACTCGCGATCCCCTGTGTCGTTATGCATGCCGCGTAAAGATAATTAAGAATAATCGAGCGATCGGTATGCCAGCCGACGGAACGATCAATTAATTAAACGTGCAACGGTGTAGCGGCAACTTAATTGCAGGGCCAACGCGTTGGGAAACCATGAACTGTCGCCTATATCGACAAAGTGAACGGCTCGGTACGTGTGTATCGGTCTAACACAGGCGTTGAGATTCTTAAATAGTTAATATTGCTGAAGGTTGGCTATTAATAATTCCAATCCACGGCCTGGTCAGGCCATTCTAATAAACACGCGCGCAAATCCGATCGTCGTTGCGCGCATTCCGCTTATGGGATCAAATGAGTAATTAGGAAACGCGAAATCTTCCTTTCCATTCCGTCTTGGTTAGACACCCCTTCAACGCGCTCCGCCATCTCTGAATTTCGATGCAGGGTGCTAGTTTGTTTATCAATTCAATGTTTATGCATTGTGACGCAAAATTACACGAATGCTATAACATTCAAATTCATAAAACACGTTATCGTGCATTCGATTCCACGTAGTTTTTATTTTTTGAAATTATTATACAGTTTAATAATTATTTAATATATGAAAATGTAATTAAAAATTTATGTAATCCTCCTTTTAGTTCATTATTTTTTAAATGCTTCGAGGGAAAGTTGATTTCCATTTACCAATTTGATAAAAATCAACATTAAGCAAAATAAATAATGGCTAATTCATTGAGTATTTTCATTTTATTTTGTTTTTGTGTGTTCAAAAATTTCTTTTAACTAGCACATTGCGTAAATTAAACAGAACTGCTACAATTGATGTAAGTTTCCATTTTTGCAGATGATTTACATTTTTACTGTCCGTGAACATGTTAAAGAATCGAGTGACTAATTAGGAATCACCGAATTAAAATGTTCTTTTCGATCGCATTCCAATACTTTGTCCACTTAATGTTAGGGCAGGGTTTCCGTGGTTTATTCGTTAGTTCAAAGGTCATTTAATTCAACTAACACCAACAGTTTCTTACGACATAGTGGCAAATGAATCGTTCCAAATTAAACGATATAGGGCTGGAATTAATTATTTTATTAAATTTCCTTTATAATTTTATAGAACTTATTTACTTAACAAAACTTTGAAAGAATCGTTCCAAATTAAATTATATAGCGATGGAACTAATAATTTCATTCGTTTGATATTTCCTTCACAATTTTATAGAACTTATTTACGTAACAAAACTATGAGAGAGTAATTGAAATTTGTATATTTTCATCGAAATTAAAAAGTTAATGTAGTCTTCCGAATAGAAAAGAAATAATTTGAAAGTTAAAAGTTTACCGAGTAACTGTTACTTATATACATATTACCATTTCGTTCGACCCCTGTACAGCCTCTGTTAATCGATTCTGGTTGTATCCGCGTCGACCAAAGAAGATGACTTGATCTATAATCTGTTATAAATAGAATCGTTGTAGGCGTATAGTACTTTGCAAATGTAAACACTACTATTTATGAACAGGAATCCCATCTGTTTTAATCCAATATTTCTGTACTGCGTATACAGAGTGTGAATAAACTATAGACACAAACTTCGGGGCAGTGGTTCGCAACCTTTCTTGATCCTGGATCAGATCAGAATCGGGAAACAATTTTATAACCTTATATAGTTCGTTCGTAAAATATTCCATTCTATAATTGAAATTTTTATTTTTATCCGATGGGTAATGGATGAACAGTTCTAACATTCATTTATTCGTAATCTTTGTTTAGATCAGAATTTTGGCCATCTTTGAGTCAGATTGGATAAACAGTATTTTTTAACGTACTAATAAAATTTAAATTATTTGCCATAGTAACTGTGTTCAAGAAACAAAGCTAAATTAGATAGTGTATCGTAATTGTGCAAAAATTATTTATTTAGAGACTGGACAAATCAATATTTCTGACGTTTCTTTTCTCCTAGTGAGTTCGGTCATAAATATCTATAATTTATTATTGTAGAATTCTGCGTACTTGTACCGAGCAAAGATTAAAAATGTGATTTTCAAGCTTCTAACGAAGTTTCTTCGTCGTGTCTGTTTCAGTGCACGAAATGAGACCGGAGGACGTTGGGATCGTCGGATTCAGGGGTGATCCCGACAAACAGCCCTTCATGGTAGGGTACTTCAAGAGCTCTGGCATCAGGGAGTCGAAGGTTCGACAGAAACGGGACGCCAGGAGAAGAAAAAAGAGCGAGTCCTCGAGTTTGGATTATCGGAATAATCCGTACACCGGTAAGTCCGGAAGGTAACGTCCGATGTACCAATATTATACATTATTACATCCAGCTGCCCTATTTCGTTCGTTTGTAATCGTCTTTTGTAACTAAAAACGTTTCGAAAAATAATTGGTATACTATGACTATTACTCGAGTTGCAAGATTAGAATCTTTGGATATTTATATTGATATCTTTCTTCTAGATCCTGGTGTGCAGTATAACTCGAGGACCTGCAAAATCCAAACGTTGTACGTCAGCTTCAGGGACCTCAAGTGGCAGGTGAATTATGCTATAACGTGTTATAATATTTATCGTAAAATACAAAGGGAGGCGAAGCTGATTAAGAAACAAGTTATTTTAAAACATATTTCATGCCCAGCAAAATATCTGAGGCACCACACTCTATTTTATTCTGTAAACCACCAACATATGGATCTCAAAATTGTATAAATAGAATGATCACTCATGCTAACACGCGCAAAAACAGATATAATTTAACAATCCTTAGGAAGTCTAAAATTATCCTTGGAACGTATAGTGCGTTAATTATTTTACAAAATTTTGTAAACGACAATATCTTCTCTCTATAATTTATATTTTCTTTTTCCTTACATATTATTTCTTCTTGTACTAAAGGGTTTCTCCTGTTAATAAATGAATAATCATAAGAATTAATTTAAAAATAATGTATTTCGAAGATAATTTTAGATGTATCTTATAAAATCGACGATGCTTAGACGGTGTTCAAACGTTTACGGGGCAGAAGTTATGAATAAATATTTGTTTTGCAGGACTGGATCATAGCACCGGACGGGTACGACGCATATTATTGCAGCGGTGAATGCAATTTCCCTTTGAACGCTCACATGAACGCGACCAATCACGCGATCGTCCAAACGTTGGTGCACCTGGTGAGTCCTGGTAAGGTACCAAAGCCATGTTGCGCGCCGACCAAGCTCTCACCGATCTCCGTGCTGTATTTCCTCGACGAAAGCAACGTTATACTGAAGAAGTACAAAAACATGGTCGTCAAGAGCTGCGGTTGCCACTGATCGTCCCGTGATTAGCAAGCGTGCGCGGACACCGCACTCGAATCGAGTAGAACGTACGTAAACGACACCGATTCGACTGGATTTTCATGTCGAATCGACTAATAACCATCGGTTCGGAAATCCATTCGATCGGCGAAGGGATCGAGTAACCTTTAACGACGAAGAACCGAATGTCTAACGTTTCCAACTACTTGATACTTATCATGATATTACTGGAACACGGATTCTGTTCTCGTACGTCGCTGGCAGTCTATTATTAGATAACGGAATTATTTATTGAACTCGTCGATTCGTGTCCTCGAGCGATTTTCAATCGTCCAATATTTCAATTATCCTTTCTTAATACACGACGTTTCCTGGGAATCGTTTAAATTAGTGTTTTCCGAACTTAGCCGGGCCGTTTTATCAATTTTAACCGAGATGCTTCAGTTTCAGCCTCGAAGAAAGCGTTAGACAAATTTCTCACATCCGAGGAGGTATTCTACTATACTATTTATTGTATCGTAAACATTTGGAAGAATCGACTCCCTTTTACGTTTTCAAAATCTTAGTTTCTTTCATTTATTGTAGCCCACGAAAAGAATACAAATCTTTTAACGTGTTTTACTTGAAATTATATTGTCTCAAGAATGATTGGCACAAGATTTCGTCCACATATTCAGCACACATCATTACAATACTAAAATCCCCTGGAATAGTACTAGAGTACCCCATGTATTAACACGTTAACTGCCATGTTTTCTATGTCCAAAGATGTCCCCGACATTTGTTCAAATTAAAACATAGAAATATTCGATAATTCAAATGGTGAATTTGTTATTTTACAATATTTCAATTTAAATTATTATGTTATTTACAATTTTAGAAGTATTAGGGTAAACGATATTGCAACACGTTGTGAATTCAAAGTGTCGGTCACCGGTGACCACCGTGGCGATCAACGTGTTAATACATTTATCTCCGGAGTTTGACAACTCTAAAAATATATCTTTCTCCTAACACTTTAAACATTCTCTCGTTTACCTAAATTTCGTGCAGGAATTGAATTTGGACCGAGATATTTTCTAAAAAGCTCTTTCGAACGAATTAAAATGAATGGTAATAAAATTTTGTTATCTGGAAGGCACAGATTTAAAGGTTCAGCGCCGTCGCCATTTTTCCCGAATTACGTTTTGATACCAAAAGGAACGATGACGACAGCGTTGATTTCGTAGCATTTTTCTCCGTTTCAAATACGAGCTTTTTTTTTGTTTATTGCTCTCGATTGTTCAACGTTGTTAATTTTATGGGCAGATGTTTGGACTTAATTGGAGCATTGGGACGATGTCGCGGTTAACTTTAATTGCGCTCTTGTCCTTAGAAGAAATTAAGAATATTCGGCGACGTTTCGGTTCGAAAAGTTGTAAAAGTCGACGAAGACGATTTAACTTCAATCGCGTTAATTTTAAAATACAGTAGACTCCCGTATGCCTTATAGGAAATTGTTTGGTCCAAGAATTTTCCTCGTGTAATACGAACAGTATAAGAGTAACGTGGTTGGAATGATTATTGTCAATTTTTATTTTCTATGTTTTATAAAACAAGGGGGTTTTAAAAATAAACAGTACAATTAAAATGTTTATGGCACTTTCTATGTAAGCTACTGATTTCAAAAAAAAATTTTCACTTTATATAAATTCAACGATAGAAACAATTTGGCCAACAAAAGAATTTATTGTGTAATTATAATTAGTTTTATACGAATTCGCGTCACACGGGAATCTGCTGTAGGGAAATATCGAGAACATCGAGGGTTCGAATTTCCAATGTTCGATAGCGTTGCCAATCGCTCGAACCGTCCAATGTCGATTGTTAAACGATACGTTATTAATCGAATTGGCTCGATTCAGTCCGATCGAACTTAATTCCAATGTCTGTTCGCCAATGCTCGACGCGAACGACAAGTTGATCGATGGCGGATTTAAACGACGCAGAGATACATCGGTCGTCTGGTGCCAAATTTCGACTAGTAGATAGTGTAATTCTCGAAACAAGTGCTTCCGTACTAACGATCGTAATAATTTCGTGTTTCTAAGGTGAGATGGGAATTCTGATCAATGAATCGACGTGCAATCCGATTTTAGTGGATACATTGTAATATACATATATACGTAAAAGTCGGGGGTCATTTATCAATACTCCGGATCGTTTCTTAAATTCTTTATTTTATTTGTTATCGACTCAAAAATCTCATCTAACGTCCAAACGTTCAGTCGGTTAATATATCGTTTAGTGATATTAATTTAATGACTCGAACTTCCGATATTATAGTCCGAGAAAAAAAGAACATCTCTCTCTCTCTCTCTCTTTCTTTCTCTCTTGTTTTGTTATGGCGGGAAACACGCGTGCTTGCGTTTCCCGCTCGTTGAAGGTATCTATGCGAGCCGGATAAAAAAAAAATATTTCTTGTAATTAGTCTTATTTATGTTTGTAAGTAAAGCGTCTCATCGTGTGAGTAAGAACATTGTATGTAATACTCGTAGCAGATTCGTGCGTGTACAGGCTGTTTCATAAGGTAAATCGAATCCAGAAGGTGAAAGATTCCTCGAGCGAAAGTGACGCGATTCTTGGCATTCTCGTAACCGTTCAGTTGTTGTTAACCGTTGTACGAAAGTAGCAAGAATCAATTTTTAATCAGAAATCTTTCGATTTACGAAACACCACTTATCTATGAAACATTTTACAGGGTAGTAACGGTTGCCACTTTAACACGAAATTGTGGAAGTCGAAGAAAATTCGATAATTATCATTTAGTGTAGGCAGGACTATCAAATATATTTTTCAAATATCCGTGCAGTTTCGCATTTTCCAATATTTACAAAAAAAAAACACTGCAAAATTTTAGAAGTTACTCGACTAATAATTCGTATGAAAAAATTTATTTAACCATTTATATCTCGATACTCGAGTTTTTAGAGATTTCAATTTCTTTAATACGATTTTAAATTCAGTGTCTCGGAACAAAAAAAAAACAAAATGGAACCTAATAACTGATTACGAGTATTTATTTAACCGTTTATATCTCGACAATCGAGTTTTTAGTGATTTCAATTCCCTTAATATGGATTTTAAATTCATTTTCTCGGTACAAAAAAAAAACAAAATGGAACCTAATAACTGATTACGAGTTCGAAATACATGTTTGCAAAACGCTGCAAAATTTTAGAAGTAACTCGACTGATAATTCGTATGAAAAAATTTATTTAACCGTTTATATCTCGATTCTCGAGTTTTTAGAGATTTCAATTTCTTTAATACGATTTTAAATTCAGTGTCTCGGTAGAAAAAGAAACAAAATGGAACCTAATAACTGATTACGAGTTCGAAATAGATGTTTGCCATGCATAAATATTATCTATACTTATTATTTATCTACATTCTTTATACTGTTATAGGTACATATGGTTGTAAATAGTATAGTGTAAATAATAATGGCACAGAATTTCACAGAAACCAGCCTTTCGAGAAATAACGCTACCGTGGAGGCACTTATCGAACGTTTTATGAACAGAAAATCGTTATTGATGCAAAAACATATTGTAATGATAAGCGAAAGGTTGAAAATGTAGATAATAGAAATCACAGGTGAAATAGGTCTTCACGCTTGTGTCTAAATTTCCGATCGATACTGTATTATTTAACCCTTTACGGACGGCTATTTTGGATCACGAAAGTTAGGGAAACTATGCGTGTCTGAAAATTATTTTAACACTGTTCACAAAGAGTCCGCCATCTTGGAACTATATTTTCGTCGCCATGATCTTCGTTACATAGAAACTTTTCTTTCTCCCCGAGTCCCTAGAATTTCGATTATGTTAAGACGACAATCGTTACCGGACCATTTTATATTATACAGATACGTGTAATTCTACTTTCTATGTATATTGCAATGTGTAAAGGCACTCATTAACGTGTACGTAGAAAGTAGAAAGTTCGTTAGCACGATTAAATAGTATCGTCATTACCATACGAGGGGGGATCAAGATCGTCGAATAACATCGATGATCCTGGATCACGACGGAGTGCGTATCTTTAATCGGAACAAACGTTACGTGCAATACAGCGAGAACTTTATATTAATTAATTAAAACGTAGTCGTACAGCTTTTATCCCTTTTTCTTTTTTCTTTCTTTCTTTTTGTATAGATTTATATTTTTTACAAAGTCGTGAGAAAGAGTACGGGAATTCATAGTCACTTAATCAAAACTCGTGAGATTAAAGTTTAAATTATTTTCGACGCGTAATAGGAACGTGCCGCTACCCGAGTAATGTGTCAGCGTTGTTTCGAAGGAGTTTTAACGAGCGTTAATCGTGTGAATGGGAACGAAGCATAGTTTATTTTAGCCATGGGTGCGTGAATGTTGTATGCGGTAAAATAAATCGATGAATATATAGTCTGTGGTATCATTAACACAACTTTTGTAATGACAGTGTAAATATATCGTTGTAAATACGTTCTATAATACATACTATATAATGTGTACAACGTACTTGTGCAAATTTCTTTCTTACCATGTACAGTTTTCAGTAACTTTTCTTTCTCTCTTAATGTTAACGGCGAAAGGTATGCAAGGAACAGCGAATATTCGAATATTACATTAACTTTGTTACTACTATTGTTAAATCACGTTCTTCAACTGACATTAAACGTTCACCTCTTGTACAGAAATAAATAAAATTTGAATTCTTTTGCAAGAATTTGGAAATTATAAAATTAACTTATTTAACGAAAACGTTGGATTAATAAATTATTATTCCGTTGAAAAAGATTAAAATGTAATTACTCCTGACTTTGTTAAAACTTCTTGAAACCATAACTGGATGCAATAACGAGGCCTAGCAGTGATCTGATTATGTTAGCCACCGATTACTTCTACTTAAATTCGAGTATTTCACCCGCAGAATAACTTTTTATTATCCGTAACAGATTATTTTCTATTTGTACGAGTAAATTAATGTTAAAATTAGTAAAAACAAATACTTATTCAATTGTCTTCAAATATGGACGTCGGATTTAAATTATAATCTGTGGCTTTCGTAGTTAATCGAATCGTTGAAAGGTAGAACTACGTATAAGGGACCATAATCTAAAACTGTACTTTTCATAAGTACTATCGATTAGGAGAATTCCAGGGATTAAAGTATTAGATAATTTATGTGTACTATACGATATGTAAACACAGAAATATTATTTATGTATTTAATAAATTAGGTATTCGTAATTTCTACTTTCCTCTGTGCGTGCACACAGTTTAAAAAGCATGCGCTGATTTACGAAGGATTGCACCGTCATCTACGGCAGAACGTCCAAGTTTGTTGAGAAGTAGTTCGCTGTCTTCGACGCTACATGGCGCCTCACGTGTATACGATCGAAATACAAAAAATTGTATAGCACATGCTTGATGCGTCATGTAGCGTCGAAAACACCGAACTATTTCCCGACGAACTTGGACGTTCCGTCGTAGATGGTGGTGCACTCCTTCGAAAATTATTATTTTTTTATTATAAAAATAATCGTACTATATCGAGAATCCTCTCGCAATAAATAATTCGAAGCAAAATTATTGAAAGTTTTTAAAATTGATTCGTAGAAAATCAAGTTGTCGATAGAATGTTTTTCCATTCGATAATCGAGCTTGCTACATGAGTGCAATTTATATCTCAACCAATCATATTCGTTCATCCTCGATTTTAATACAATTAAAATTGACGCCACTTGAATCGTTAGACGAGTTTTAAATATTCCGACTCTTGATAGATCGAGTCTTACTAATGAAATATTTATTAAAAATTGACAATTGTTACATTTTCACGTCACAAAACTAATGAAGCCGTTGTGAGGTAGATGTAATCGACTTGACCGGGAGAAATATGGCCGTCGTTCTCGAACGCCGTCTCGATATATCGTTCGACGATACTCTCGCTTTGAATCGATGATCGTTTTCACGATGGACGGCGAACGTGCCGTGGACTCGATGTTAGTGCGAAACGATGATTTTTCGTGCTGACAATTCTTCTTATTCGAGAATTTTTGCGCATCGATACGTAGGATCGTGATTTACGAACGTTGGCGTGGCGATTAGGCGACAAAGTTCACGTAAAGTCGTCGAATTGTGGATGGTGCTAGTGCGAATTCTGTGCTGTGTACGATCGTGGTCTTCTCGTGTGCATTCGTGCCGCTGTCAACGAGAGCCTGGAATATCTGGACCACAGGATAATTATACGATAGAATTCTACGAATCGCGTTAGAAACACATTGCGAAACTGCGATTCGAGAAACGATAAGATGCAGTATCTACGCGAACGAAGCAAAATCGCGTGAGGTACGCCCCTTTGGCAGGTGCCAATAACAGTTTTGCGACATTCATCGAGAGAATCGACCACCGAAGACGCACAGGCTCTTGAAGAGGCTTATTCCGGAACGCGTCCCCGAATCCATCAAGGAGACCCACTTCTCTAACTTTGAATTTATCACCTCGCTTGGTTTGTCCACTGTTTCGCGCAAAATCGATAGAGAAGCTCGCACATTGTTCGTGGATTGTGGAACGCTCTCGCGAGGAGTGTTACCGACAAAAATAGCAGAGTCCTCGGCAAATACGATTCGAGTGTCCTTAGTTCTCGGTGCTCGTCCTTTGCTGCGTCTTGTCGCGATTAACCGGCGTTATTTCCTGCGACTTTTAACAACGCTGCACTCGGCGCTGCTTGTCGAACGTTTATCGTGGGTTTTGAAACATCGTGTAGTCTGGTACTGGCCGTGCAGTTTTAATTTCTGTGAATATTCGGGATCGACGCGAGAGTGCCAATCGGGGCTAAAATCGACGACGGTGTCGTAACGTAAATAATAAACTCGTAGCCATCCCGAGAGACACTCTAACCTTACTCCGAAGGAAATTCGCGTTCGTTGCGCCTAACCTTCGCGTTGTCGATCGTGGTGCTTTTATTTTTTGGGACAAAGTCGTGTGCATGCCCGATGGCACCGTGACACGCGAAAAATCCGCGCGTCCGTGGGTAAACGTGAAATTCTTTGAACGAACATCGTCTCGCCGGCTATGACGAGAACAAGGACCCGTTCGTACGAATCGTCGCTGCCACCGTCGCGGATGCTGTGATTTCATTGAATGTGGAGTGCGATCTCGCGCCTTTTCGTTAAGGGCAAAACCGAGGAACCTGCCCCGTGGACGGAGGATCGGACGTGTGACAGTGTGTCCGATACGGTCGTCCATGTTTTCGACGCAATGGATCGTAACGTGGGTGACGATCGACGAAAAGGCCCTGTCGGCGAGCAACAGCACGCCGCAGCCGAATCTGAACACTACTCCGACGCCTATGACTCCCGACAGGTAGAAATTCCTTTTCTTATTTGACCTTCTTATACAGAGTCTATCCTACATACTAGCAGTTCTTAACCTCTGAACTTGCACATAGAAATTTTCAATATTTGAGGTCTTGTGCAAGTGCCAAGAATCGAATTTTTTAAGAGCAGAGCACGACATTGTTGACTCAACTTATTTCTGTCAGTGCGTGTTACTAAGACAGCGATAACTTGAACACGCTACAAAATCTTCCGTTTCTAGGATTATTGATATGCAAATTTGTGGGAAAAGAAAGAATTGTGTTTGTATAAAAGTCTATATGTGCCAGGTGTTAGTTGTCGAAAGGACCAGAGGTACTGTTCGTTTAAATCTGTGGGCATTCCATGTGCCACGTCTTATTGTTTGCAAATTACTTTGGAATATTGGAATATGGAAAGTATACAAATTCAAAAGCATATTTCTTTAGTATAACCTTTTTATTTTCTGTTAGGAGAGGATCATTTACTATCTCATTGTGTTAAAATAAGTCCCGAGCTTACTATTATGTCTTATATACAGAAATCATAAGCTACTGCAGAATGGAAACTGGGACTTTTGCACGGTTTTGCACACTTTTAAATGTTGATAGAAATATTTTACTAAGACAGTGTTCAATGTTTCTTTTACAATTTCTTTAAGAATTGGAACATGTGTACACCTGGAGAATTTCTCAGAATAACGTTTTTAAATTGTGTTGAGAGTCTTAACATAATGCAACAAATAGGATGAATAAGCTTACAAGGAATATCTCTCATTTAGTTTCTTAAAAACATGTTAGAAAATTTTGAACGTTTCTCTTCAAAGCAATTGAAATAAATGTTCATGGACCCGCGACTAACTTGGGGTATGTAAATCACTTTTAAGAACTGCTAATACAGTGTGCAAAAGGACTTAATAATTCAACGAGTGGGTCAATCCAAGGGAATGGAAAAAGTTGGTTGTGTGCTAAATACCAATACAATTCCAGCAACATACAAAAATAATATATAAAGATTTTTTTAAATTTCAGTTATTGAAATAGATATTGGTAGTTCTTCTCAACAACTGAAATGTTTGAATGCTTCTGATGCAAATATATAGCTCTAATAGCATATCGTCTACTATTCCACGCTATGTACTTCTTTCATTTTTGACTCATGGTTGAAGTAGTCTTAATAATCGCTTTCACATGCCTTGAAAATGTTTCTTGAAAATGATTGCAAATATAAAATATTATACTGTTACACCCTCCATGATCCATTTTGAAAAAAGAAGAAAATCGAAACAAATAACTTTAGAAATTTAAATAAAAAAGAACAGATATTTCAGCGTTCATAGCGAAAGATGACTGTACTAAAGTTTGCTCGGATGCATTCGTTCGTGCTCCCGGTGCCGTTCACACCGAACGATAAGCGTTCGTGTTCGTGATCGTTCGCGATGCTCGTCTTAGTCTGGATATACCTTTAAGATAACGCGTCTCCGGTCTACCTGACATGGACTTGGCGTTCGTTTTACGGGGTAAAAAAAAAAGATTATGCGTATCTCTATATGGTCGTTCGAAATGCGCACGTTCTCGGGTAAAACGGCGACCGCGCCGCGACGCTATGACGAATACGGCGTTCGTTTCCTGTACGCAAGGTCATTTGTCGCACGGCGAAACGCGACTGTCCCTGCCGAGCGTGTGGAACTCTCGAGACTTCTTTTGGCACGACGTTCAGGATCTCCGGGAATTGCGATACACGTTCGTAATTAGCCGTTTAATTACGCTGCTTCACTGACTTCGGATGAAGCTCTCTGAGAAGAGGCTCTCGTACACTCCGGGAATACAACAAATCAACGATGACGCGCCGATACCGTTTCCTGCGCACGCATGCAGGACTTGAAAACTATTGCAATAAAGGTTTACGGTAGCTCAAAGTAAAACTTGTACATTTACATTTTTATACTTTACGAAGGGATTTGTAGTGCAAAAAAAGAATTTAAACAGAAAATAAAGTTATTTTTATTAAGCTTTCTCCAAGGTTATATGAATTTATTAAAATTACGTCCACTGTAGAATTACTTCTTTGGCTATTTTGGCAATATTTTTTACTGACAATCCATCTTTAAAATTACTTATAATTAGCTCCCGAATTTCTAATAATATCTGTTCAGATTACCATTTTTATATATTAAAATAAGTTTCACAAAAACTGACATATTTCTATCGCTTATTTCACACTTATTCAACATAAAATGAAAACAATTGTAGTTATCAAATGACAAAGTTACCGGTGACGAAACTCACAATGTTTTCAACTGTTCGAGTTTTAGTTTGATGTTAGTTTCCATTACTTTTGAAACGTTGTTTTTTATGACTTAATATAGATAAATTTTGCCTTTGTTTTTAGTAAATTTAACTGACCTTGAATAAAGTTTAATAGTAATAACTTTATTTTCTGTTAAAATTTTTTTCCTGCAATACCAATTGCTTCATGAAGTACAGGACTGACTGATTGTGTTCGAGTTTTACTTTGAGCCATTGTAGGTTCTTTATACAGTCGCGAAGGACTAATTCTGGAAAAGAAAAATCTACATTTCTGAGGTTCTATAACCGTTATTTTTTTATTACTGGTCTCGAATCCATACATTGTAAATATTTGCCCTTCTCGACGGTCAGATTAGTGCTATTACTTTGTAATTCTCGTTTTGAATCACACCTTTGAAACATACAAATTATATTATTAATTTCACGACAATCGTTTGTAAATAAATGAACGAATTTGAGGTTAGTTTTCATTACTTATTCGTTGAGAATGAATTTTGCTATAAATTTCTTGCAAATTATCTTATTTACAGGAGGTTTTCAAAGTTTTGGTTCAAATATTTTAGATCAAAGACAAATTTGAGAAATTTTGTGGGACACAAATGTTGATTTGAAAAGCCATTCCAACGATTCGCCAGCATTGCATAGCTGCCTTCATAAGGGAGTCAGATGACACACTGTTAGTGATGTGTGTCTTGTGGTTATCATCTATTTAAAGCACCAATGCTCATGTCATGGATCATTGGTCGCCAACCACAGGTCTTTAATTGGTCGAATGAACGATTAAAAAATGGCGAAACGTCGGTAGGCTTTTCCCAAATAGATACGGTTCACTATTAAATCTCAAGTCACCGTCTCCTGTATAAAATTTAAATGTCAGACGTGAATTTCGTACAAGTAAAAGTTTCTATAATGATTTTTACTAGAGAACTCGTTTCGTACGACTTATTTACACGTTGACTGCTGTACCAGTTTTCTCTGTTTAGGGATATTCTGGGTATTTTTTCAAATTATATCGTAACAAATAGAAATATTCGATAGTTCATCGAGGTACTTGTTATTTTGTAATATTCCTAATGACAATTACATTATTAAAAAATATATTAGTATTAAGGTTCATTTATTTTAAGCGTTTTAAAAACACGTCGTACGATTGAAGTGCCGGTCACCGGTGACCACCATGGCAGTCAGCGTGTTAAAGCGATGTTTTCTTTACGAATAGCATATTGTGCTTTAAAAAAATAATTTTATTAAATAAATCACATCTTCGCCGCGTAGCAAATTATTTAAAAATTGTTACTTTTTTTTCTATAATTAGATGAATCGTGAAGAATAGTTGTATGTATTGTATTTTTTAAAAGTGATATTAAACAATTCACGAGTAGTTGCTTTACTTCCTAACTCCAGCGAGGAAGTCCTGTGTGGCAAGATATGTTCAGAAACATAAGAGTTAATACAATTGTCCCTCGAATAATGCAAGGTTACAGGACGTCGACGTACAGAGTAGTTGAAAATTCGCATAACTTTTAAACTTTCCTCCCTCCTTTTCAAATCTTTATTGCACGCATAGCTATTGCCAGAGCTGGCTAAATTACTATTTTAACGTGAAGAAAAAAAGATTTTAATTAAGAGAAATTTTGATATATTGTTTTATTAGTTAAATTTTAGTTTAATTCATTTTAGTATAACACTTGTGTTTTAAAGAGAACATAGTTTTCATTTTATTTCCAAAATTATAATCATAGTGTGTGGGTGAATATTCACAGTAAATCGTACTAGTCGATTAGTAGACATTAAATAAATATTTTATTTTTGATTATACATGTACTTAAAAATAGTATTGAATATATTTTTATATTAATAAACTACGGTTTACAATGTCTTTTGTTTTATCTGAAAATAATCAGAGTCGATTGTTAGTGTTTCTTTTTATCGAATTACTGATTCCATTCGTTCGTGACAGTGAACGTTGTCATTTAATTCGAGATTCCAGTTGCACCGTTAATCTTGGCACATGGCAGCTTGCGCAAACCCGTAGCAATAAACAATCAATATGTAGGCATCATAGCGACCTCGTTATCGATGGTCAAGCTTGGCGTGTGGCCAGCCAAAGAACTGTTCGTTCGATTCTTTCGAAAAAGGTGTCGGAAGTCTAATCGAGTGCAAACAAGAAAAGTATCGCGACGAAGACGGGAATCTTTGCCAAGTAATAATTCGTTCGTTCAGTAATTATTTTAAAAAATCGCTTTTTAGCGCTCCGCGGTAGGGTATTCGGTCACCAAAAGAAGAAATGGTTGAAACCAAAAAAGCGTAAATCCGGTGTTGGCTACAAGTTTTCATAAGGAAACTAGAAATTGATCAGTAACACTTACGGAATACACTTGATTTGTAAATAACTTGTGGTTCCTGATTCATCCGAGTATTTAAATAATTTAATAATTACCGTGCAGAGTTATACAGGGTGTCCCACGCAACTGGAACAGGCTATACCTCCTAAACGGTTGGGAATAGAAAAATATGTTATAAGTCAAAGTTAAAATAGTATCAGACGATGCGTAATATGCAACTAATTTTATGCACTTTTGTGCATTGGTGCATCAGACAAATGCAACTGCACCTTTTTTTTAAATGGAAACCTCCATTTTTCCTTATGCCCTAAACTTATTCGTTAGGAAGTTATCGAAGATAAAAGTTCTCTAAGTAC